CGAAGCTTGTTGTCTTGCAGAACTTGCTTGACGTGCTGAGGCTCGGCGGCCAGGTGTTTGCTGCAACAGACCCCTAGCGCTCTCTGTAACAAAGATTTGCCCACGGTAGCTAACTGTGAAGGATGGTGGTGAGATTCACCGTTTAAATATCGGTTTGTATGGGTCCTTTTCCTATACACAGTGTGACCAATGGTGTTATTAGGATTTCGGATGACTAACACATCTAGGAAAGGTAAGGAATTATTTGCCTCTAACTCCATAGTAAATTGAATTTTAGAGTTTATGGAATTAAGATGTTCTAAAAATGCAGTTACTTTGTCTGATGGTAAAATTGTGAAAGTATCGTCTACGTACCGCTTGTAGATCCTTGGTGTAACAGGTGCAGTAAGGAGGGCTTTCTCCTCAAAGTCTTCCATGAATATATCGGCGACAATGGGAGATACAGGTGAGCCCATCGCAACACCATCTACTTGCTTGTAAAACTCTTCCTTCCACAATAGATAGCCAGATGTAAGGCAATGTCTTAGTAATACTGCATATTCTGCTGGCATGTTATTTTCCTCTAGTTTCCTAGTTATAATTGAGATGCAGTCTTCAACAGGTAGGCATGTAAATAGAGACTGAACATCAAAACTGACCATGGTTTCATTGTCAGTAAGATGTAGGTCTTTTATCTCACTGACAAAATGGTATGAATCCTTAGTTTGTGCTCTTGTGTGTCCTCTGAGTGGTGATAATATTTTAGCTAAGTATTGAGCCAATCTGTAAGTTGGCGAATCAATCTGACTCACTATTGGACGTAATGGAGCATTCGGTTTGTGTATCTTTGGTAACCCATACAACTTCGGTGGTTTGGCACATGAAGGTATTATCGAATTAACGTCCAGATTCAATTTTTCGGAGTATTTCTTAATTAGATCGCTAGTTGTTTTAAGCGTATTAGTTGTAGGGTCTGTTTTGACCTTTCGATAAGTAGTTTCATCCGACAAAAGTTGTTGTATTTTAAAATTGTAATCTGACGTATCCATTATAACCGTACCTTTATCTGCGCGGAGAATCGTAAGCTCTGTTCTGTTGCGTACCGATTCCTACCAAGGATGATGCGTGAGGCTATTGAAATTAAAAAACATCCTAATTTCAATAGAGAAGGAGGCTGGGTACTACCACCTGCTTGGGATCCTATAATCAATAAAATTAAAACTAAACCCAAGCATACCACTGCAAGACCTCAGGACATAGTCAGTTCATTTTGCATAAATCGGACCATAAACAATAATTAAAAAAGCTGAAGGTACTCCGGGTTTAACAATGACATCGGGACGTCAGTCATCTCAGTCCCCCGTGACCATGGGTGCTGGAAAGCGCCCGAAACGTCGGGAATTAAAAATAAAAGTAAATAAAAAGTAAAAATAAACGCGATAAAATCCGTAAGTAGTTTTAATTCTTTTGTGTATATTGTGTGACTTCACTTTATCTATTATTTAAATTAGATTTCACTAATCACATACTACACTTCAATACTTTAACACTTAACACATTAATAAGACCTCTGTTTGTCATTTGTTAAAGGTTAATTCAGTATAATAAGTTATAGATTTTACAAAATTCTAGGAGGAAAAGTAAACTCTTATATTACTCCACAGAGTACATTATGGGTATGTTCCGAAATACAACACAGTACACTGTCGAATGCGAATGACGTCATTAATTGACGTCGTATTCCACCATATTCGATACAACGAATCACCAATATGGCGTGGATTTATGACGTCATTCGCATTCGACGGTGTACTGTGTTGTATTTCGGAACATACCCTAAATATACCTGGAATATTACTCACATGGACTTTTACTCGTCAGTTTGCATTTTCGAATGTCATTGGCGAATTAAATACATGAATGTGAAATAGGTATTTAAATATTTGACTTACGTGCATGATATAATCCTTGGGTTAAACATTTTTTGCATCAATTAGACATTAACATACGAATCCACTTGTAAGCAGAAAAACTACGTGAATTTTCATTTTTACACTTTTACTTTAACACGAACACAGTTTATATCAATTTAGACTTTCTCTGTCTACTTTAAACAAACGAGTTTATACCATATTATACTTTTTCTACCAAATAGTGTAAAACTACAGACTTTATTGTTACAGTCAATGCCAGTCAATGCAAAAACTATGCGTGTAAGTTGGTAAACAGCAGGAAAGAATGCAGTGTCATCTTATATCATTTATCAATTTAATATAACGAAAGATTAAAATTATAGCTGTAGAACTTTTAAAAACTTAAAATAATTAAGTACTTAAACATGTATAGATCGTTATGTGTTTCTGGAGTCTGTGGATCGTTTTCCTTTCTTATTATTTTTAGAAAATCGTACCATATCCCATATTATTCAATAAAAATAAAAATATTAAGTAATACATTTAAAAAAGAAAATATGTAATTTTCGTTTCCGCAGTATAGTAATATTGTTGGAATAAAATCGAGAGTAACAAAAATAATATATATTTCTCATAAAAGTTTAAATCTAGATATGTAAGTAGATAGATTGTATAGTGGAGTTATTAGCTTTCCATGAGATAATATACTCACCTCGTGAGAAATCCACACAGATAAAAGTTGGCGCACATCAGCAGCTGTCTCGGCCAGTAATTGTCTTCGCACACTGCGTTGAAACCTGACTCCACAATTGCAACATACACTCTATTTTCATTGTATGCTAATCTAGCAGATTCCATTTTCTTAAAATCGCATATAAATACAAAAAACAGTGGCGTGACGAACGTCAATGCCGTAAAGATTAAAGAATTAAAGATGTAATACCCGTCCGCCGGCCGCTGGGATCGTTATCTTTTAATTATCGGAAGTCAATGACAAAATAACGTTTTGATTCACAGTCATTTAGAACTATGTTATAACATGATAATAGCTAAAACTTTTAGAAATTAAACATAAAGTTCTTAGTGGTATCTTTTTTAGTCAGCTTTGTGGAAAATAGTTTTCTTTTTATACAAATTGCAAAATGACTAATTAGGTACACGATTTCAACCCATATTACACTAATCAGAACACGAATATCAAAACAACTAATTTTTTTTTCAGATTGATGGATCTGTGATTGCCGTTTACATTTTCGAAAAATCCATAGGCCACTCGTTATAATTTAGTGTCTTTTTTTTGATGTAAATACCATTAAGTGACGTTAATATTTCTGGTGGGCCCAAAAATGACTGTCTCCTTTAAACATTTTGTAGTTATTTTTTAGTATCGAAAGTTTATTTCAAGTGTAGTAGTATTTATTGATAGATCAATTTTATAATATGTTAATTTAAAAGAAAAAAAAATTGTAAACTACCAGTGCCATTGGCTTCTATTTCGTTCACCTGTTATACCGTATTTTTTCTAGGCGGTAAAATAAATCACTGTGTAATATGTTTAAGACGATTATCTCACAATATTTGCTAAAAATTAAAAACAATCTAAACATGGATATCAGCTTATTTTGATTTGTCGCTATTGTTCCGCAATTTGTTTACCATTGCTTTGAGATTTTTCCGTAGAAAGATTAAAGAGAGATCATGACAGTATGTTTTTATAGTGATTTATCGGGTCATTATTGTGAAAAAAATTATGATTAGGATGAAAACGAAACGGAGCCCAATTTGATATTGTTGTTGATTGTGATAGACTCAGAAATAAGTATATCCGCAGTAAAACCAGAGTGACCGTATGTGGACACTCAGTCGCTCAGCGAGCTATGGAGAGGGCTATGCTCGGAGTTTCTTTGCGTGATAAACTTAAAAATGAGGATATCCGCAGTAGATCCAGAGTGACCGACATAGCCCAACGGATTAGTAAGCTGAAGTGGCAATGGGCCGGCCATATACATAGCTCGAAGAACCGACGACCGATGGGGAAGAAAGGTTCTCGAGTGGCAGCCTCGTACCGGTAGGCATAGTGTAGGGCGACCCCCCACTAGATTTAGTGACGACCTGGTAAGATATGCAGGAAGTCGATGGATGCAGGTGGCTCAGGACCGTGCTTTGTGGCATTACTTGGGGGAGGCCTATGTTCAGCAGTGGACTTGTGAAGGGCTGTAATGATGATGATGATGGTTTTTGTTGTCTCGTTCACAAATTAAAACGTACACCTACTTAGGTATAATTCGGAGCTTAATAACAGCCTAATACATATAACTGCGAAACATATTTAATAATTATTATTATATAGTTTTTACATAATCATAACTTTAAACAAGGAGTTAATTATTATTTTTATTAATTATTATTTAAATATAATTTTTATGGTAATGCACAAGATATATTAAATATTTTAATAAAATAATATTTCATTTACATAACTAATACATAAAATTAATATTTGTTTGTTCGTATTTTATGCGCTGCCATATAGTTCATCAGATTGCGGTAAATTTTTTGTCAACATATTGTTTGCACTTCCGTGAAGGTTATAGACATAGTTGGACCCGGTAGGTGGCGCTGTTGTAGAATTCAGAAACTACCCTGCGAAGCCGGGGCTGATCGTTAGTAATTAATAAAAATATTGATTAACTTCTTGTTTAAAGTTGTGCTTATGTAGAAACTATACAATTATTATTGTGAAGTATCAAAACATTAATATCTATAATAAAAAAATAGTTTGTGTATCCATCCCATCATATCTTCCGAGTCTATTACCGTTTCAAAATGAGAATGCTGTGACTTTTCCGTCATTTTTTAGCTTAAAATGAAATCATATTATATTATATATTATACCACTCCGTTGTTAGAAATACTTTATTATATTATCTCATTCCTATCTTTATTTTAACCACATAATAATAATCTAGTCTAATACATTTCACTTAATATATTAAACGATAGTTCCTTACATATTACCTTAAAGATATGATTTTCTAACTAACTCTTAAATACTATACTTTGAACTCTTACTTAGTTTGAACTTAACTAAAATTCTAAAACAAACAGGTCAGATTTCGCTCACGCCACCATCGATGCCGGACTTCGTTTCATCGGACCTTCGCCCCATGTGGTACAACAGATGGGTGACAAAGTCGCCGCCAGGAAAGCCGCCATCGAAGCAAGTAAGTTATTTAAGAAATAATTTCTTAAATTTGTTATTACTATTTACATACATAATATATACGCCTCTTTCCCGTAGGGATGGCAGAGACCACTTCTTTACTTGTAGATCCTTATTTTTCCCTTCGTCATTCATTATTCCCTTCTCACGGTTTGGTCCTGGCCTTTTTAGATCCCTTTTGGTGAAAAGTCCGCCTAGGTCTACCCCTTCCAGACTTCCATTCAACTGCTTATACACTTTTTTCGTCAATGTTCTTCATTCATTCTCTCGATGTGGCCAAACCATTCAGCATACCTTTCTCAATTTTTGTCACTATTTCTTTCAGACCGTTTTTATCTTGAGTCCCTATATACTTCTATTTCTTGTTTATTACTTATGTTTCTTCTGATACAATTTCACTTCCGTAGAGTTCGGTTTAGTGAGGAAATAATGAAAAGCACTACTTTATGAAAGTTTTCAAAAAAAGAATTAATAACAATTACCACGTCTTTTTATCATATTCTTACATTCAAAATTTCAAGTTTCCAGCTCACCGGGAAGTTAGTTAAAAATCAATTACTAAATTCCACCCTGAACGACAGACAGATAGATAATAGCAGCCAAACAAGAAAGTGACTTAATAAAAACGCGGTAAATAAATAAGGCATGTTCGTTCTTTTCAAAAAGATGACTTAAGAGACTATTTCGTCCCCTCTATGGATATCGTAATACTGGAAAAAGAGAAATACTCGGTAAGTTTGGTTTCCACATAATACGGTGGTATGGTTGTCTGCATAGAATATTATAATACAGAATAGAATGGCTGTCAACCTTATTTTATACGACGATAGGCTTCGCCGGGAGCACACATACAAGCAATAACGTCGTATTATCTCTACTACAAACCCGATTAGCTGTGTTGACAGACAGATTTTAATACATATTTATTTGTAAATAGCGTGCAATTTGGCATTTTCTAAATAATTTGCATCGGAAATTTGGAAACGATTGTAACGTCAAAACACATCTCGTGTTGACGTTTATACGTTTGAATTGACCGTGTTAGTGACATTTTAGTGGCTACACGGGCTCCGCTTACTCCCCCGTTCTTTTATGTATATATTATAGTATTCTATGGTTGCCTGACATCTTTAAATATAAAAGTTGCGTCATGCACCCGCAGTTTTAAGGGACCCCAAACCACAGGATAATTATATAGTACAAATTACCAGAACCTAAATGTGATTTAAAAACTCTTTGTTAGGGACTGACTGATATAGTTGCGGCCCGCAAATTGCTTCGTGGCGTCTGCTTTAATATGTGGTACATAATTTCTAGTGAGGGCGCCCACGATTTATTCTGCCACTACGGCGGCACCTCTTAAATATGACGTGTAATATTTGACAGTTTTCATAGCGGGGAAGTTAATTTGCTCGAAAACTGTAAAGGTTAATATTTCTTTCTGTACTATTAGTTATATTTTAAATTATATTAGATTGAAATAAATAAACCAAACCACAGATATTGATAAAAGTATTTTTTAAATGTGCAAAAAATTTTAAGAGCAAACCACTAAAGTATTGTTGTGGGTATATGTCGTAGGATAATAAGATAAACCGAATTTTCGGAAAACATTTAGGGATCTCGCGAATACACGGATTACGTATATACATGAATATACATGATTGGTGGAATCTGTTCTAAAACCGAATCAGCACGCTCCGACTCCACGTAGTCATGTCTGCCCTCCCTAAAGTGTTATTGTAAAGCCGTAGGCGTGGAGGGAGAGTAACACCCGCCCGCCGTAGCAACTGGGGCTGCACTTCCCGCAGTGTCCAAGCTGTTACAGAAGTAACTTTGCGTCAATATTCCTGTATTGTGAGGTTATCATTTTACAAAAAAAAAATCATTACTCATAAACCACAGACTACGACTATGATGCTTACGCATCTCATAAACTATACGCCTATAAACCAAAATCAAGCTCAGAGTTAAGTACATTAAAAGTTGCAAAACCCCTATTTTTTTTTTTCAGTAATATTGAGAAATGTCATAGCCATTGTCTAATTATCCGATATCCCTAAATTTTTTCCGAAAATTCGGTCTTATCTAATTATCCTACGACATAATATATATAATACTCTATAAACAGATAAATTTATATTTAAAACTTACTTCTCAATTAAATAACAAAAAACTTCATCTCAGTGTCAACTAACGACATCTGGTGAGCGGAAGATTATTAGCCTCATTGCCTTATGTGTGGGATATCTTACCGTAATTTTGCACTGACGCGATTTTCACAAAAAATCATGTTTTAAACACTGTTTACTGTCAATGTATCAATTGCATAGTCAAAGAACATGTAGTGAAATACGTTTGACTGTTTATTGTATATTACATATTTTAACTATATTATATCTTTATAACTACAGAAGCAAAATGTTTGAAAACAAATTTGTAGAAATGTTGTTATATTGAAATATAAATTGAAATATAAGTTTTAATATCTGTTGAAAATTTTACAATTTTTGTGAGTGCGAACGCCACCATCAACAAAACATGTTGTATGATTTCTTTTATGCGATTTGTTTCAAAACATTACGTGGTGGATGTTTCTCAGTGCAAACGTACTGTTACATATTGCGACGGTCGATTTGCCGTACATGGCCAGACTATAGGTTGTCCGTGGGCTGATGAAATAAAACGATCACAAATGATGTCATTATAATATATCACTCTTACAGAGGTTCCAATTGTTCCCGGCACCGACGGCCCTGTGACTTCAAAAGAAGATGCCCTTCAATTCTGCCAACAACATGGTCTTCCAGTTATATTTAAGGTTATTTGTTTATTTAGCATTATGCTTATATAAAGTAACAACTGGATTAGAAGTACAAAAAAAACATGTGTGCAATTCACACGCGGTAGAATTGAAACTTTCAGAAAATTAAACTTCGAGAGGATGAGACGAATTCAGTGTATCAGTAGTTTTAATATTTGTAGGGTTTATTTATTATAATAATATTGTTACAGAGTATAAAAATATTTTAATTTTAGACATGTAGAACTTAAATTTAGTAAAATTGCTTTGTCTACTACAAAGTACCGTACCGTACGCAGTATTAAGCTACTATTTTACGCTGGTATTCTGTGAGAGATGATCCTTCCCCGGCCGAGCCGAGCCATTCGTGCTACAACCATAAATAGCTGCAGCGTGGCTCTACCACGTATAAAAAAGGATAGCAAGGATATGATGGGAGGGATGAATGGATAGATAAGGCAGCATATAGTTTTTTAGAAACCAGGCAAAAGTGTCAAACCTGCTAAAAATATTTCAGGGGGATCTAAATGTCTAAGTTGATCTAAATTTCCCTTTCGCAGGCAGCGTATGGTGGTGGTGGGCGTGGGATGCGCGTCGTGCGCGAGATGAGCGAGGTGGCGTCCGCCTTCGAGCGCGCCTCCTCAGAAGCACTGGGAGCCTTCGGCAACGGCTCCATGTTCATCGAACGCTTCATCGAGAGGCCGCGACACATTGAGGTGCAGCTGTTGGGTGAGTGTTGACACTTGGGCAAAGTTGACTTCCACTTGCCACGCTGGCCAGGCGATTGGGTGATCGCAGAGCTAATATCATAACTATCAATAGTATTGCTTCAGATTTAAGCATATACATATTCTTTGTTGCTCTCTTTAAAGTATATTGTTGGTAGTGATGAGAAAATTCACTCCTAAAAAAAAAGACCGAAGGAACAAAAACCAGACCGAAACGCAAGACCAAGACCAAAGTGCAAGACTAAAATAAAAAATATAACTTCCGTTGTAAATATGATATATGAGAATATTTCCCATTACTTCAATATATGTTTTTATTGGAATAAAACATTTTTTGTGTCTTAATATTTCCTGTTTACCCCACTAATTTTACACACCAAATATAAAAAAGTATAAAAAATCTTATACTATGTATATTGTATTAAATTTGAGTATTACAAACCAATACTTTAAAAAATTTTGATAATTGTAAAATAAAGTTTATTTAATTATTTTACAATTAATTTTTGATAGTTTATAATTTATGCCTATACACGCCTTTAAAAAAATTTCAAAACGACCTAAGTATGTAGTAAGTAACAGACTGAATGAACAAGACGATGACCAAGACTGAATACGCAAGACCAAGACCAAGACAACAGGTATTTGAACAGGACCAAGAAAAAGGCTGGACAAACAAGACCGCGACCGATAACAAGACTGTCTTGGTCTTGATCTTGCTTCGCTCATCACTAATTGTTGGTGAAATAAAAAAATATCCTCGCACTGGTAATGTTCTTCTCATCACTAACTATTTAAAGTGTTTGGGTACCTATATGTCTCATCGCCGTGTGGTGATGGCGTGGGATAATTTATCACCATATTTCGTCCCGTGGTTGTCGTGAAATGCGACAATGCGGAAAAATCGTAGGGCTTTAAATAGATGACAATCACCTCGTATACGCTAGGAAAATACCCACACTGCCATGGCGACTGGGAACAGCGTCAAAAATGCGAACTTTAGCCACCTCTGATGCCCAAACAAATCTAAATTGGCTGTAATATATAATGATAAATACTTATTTATCTCACGAAAAACTCGGAGCAATAGCCCTTTCCTCTGTAATTTGAGTGATTTTGAGTTTCGTGATGTTACTTAACTCACACTACAAAATTTTTGGACAGAGCATTTACAATACAAGCTGTCCGATTATGGTATGACTTGTTGTTATCAGCAAGACGCTCTCAATCTTTACCGGTTTTTAAGAAACATACATGATTACTATTTTCATCTTTGATTCTATTAAATTCATTTGTATATAATTATTCTATTATTATTTAGTTACACTATTTGTTTGCATTTATTGCACATTTATGCTATATGTAAATAGTTTTAACACTGTCCATCCAAAAGTTGTGTGATCTCTTTTTTGTCTGTCGCTCTTGGCGATAAGACCGCCCATTGTACATTTTACGTGGTAGAGTTGCATGCTGCAGTTATATTATAGTTGCAGAAGGTAGGACCACGCTCTCACAGAATAATAGCGTAAAATAGCTGCTTAATGGTGCTGTGTTTCCTATTGTGAGTGTAGAGAACCGGAGACGTAATGATGTTAATGCTGTTAGCCTTTATTACGTGTTATGTATTTGTTACGTAGTAGAGCCATGCTGCAGTTATATTAGAAGTATAGTTGTAGCACGAATGTGGTTTTTTTTTGGTCGGCTCGACCGGGGAAGGACCACGCTCTCACAGAATACCACCGTAAAATAGTAGCTTAATGCTGCTGTGTTTCGTATGGTGAGTGTAGAGAACCGGAGACCCTTTTTACTGGAAACGAGGCATTCCATCTTAGTCCTCACGGGTGACAACGCGTCTGCATTTTAATTCGTAATTGAGGATAGATGTAGTTGTCTATGGGCCACAGCATTCACTTACCATCGGGTGGACTGTGTGCTCGTTTGTCACCCTTATACTTAAAAAAAATCTTTTTTCTTCTTTCTTCTTCATATTTATGTTTTTTTTTCTGCGTAAAATAAAGTGTTATCTATCTATCTTATATTTAACTTGCTAACAATTTGTAGGATATATTTTTATTTTTAATTACAATTTATTTGCTTACACAGGTGACAAAGCTGGCAATGTAGTGCACCTTTATGAAAGAGACTGTTCTGTGCAGAGACGTCATCAGAAGGTTGTTGAAATTGCTCCAGCTCCAAGATTAGATCCAGAGGTAAATATGTTTGATATAAGAAATATATACATAAATTTACGGTCATTTTATGGTTTAAATCTTACTTATTTAGTGTTTTAATTTAAAAACAGTTGGAAATAGTGTACTTAATTTATTAAAATATTTTTTTAGATATCAACCATATGTATTTTTCTGTTAAATCGATTTTTATCGCTTAGGCTATGTAGCAGTTACTATTGGAAATGTGTTAAAATGTATTTTAACAAACAAACTGTACCAAGAGCACTAAGAAGGGATTTTAAGTATTTTGATTTAATCATTTATGTATCTTATTATGTACTATAAAATATAACTAATATTTCAGAAATAAATATTATACTCTACACTTTTTTTAACAAAATAAGTTCCCCGCTATAAAATCTGTCAAATATTTCACCTCATTTCTAAGTGCCGATGCCCTGGTGGCAGAAAAATTCGTGGATACTTTTTTTTTTTTTTTTTTTTTTCGGGGGGGGGGGGGGGGGGGGGTTTTTTTTTGTTCGCTTTTTTTTTTTTCATTAGCGGATCGCTATTTATAGTGTTAGTAGTTTGGGAACCTTGTTGTTTAACAAAAACGACGGTATGGGGTGAATTTTACATAATTTAAATGTATTTAATAACGCCATACTGTTTCTTATGATTCTATTACATACATAAACTCACTAAACGAAACACAGCAACATTAAGCTGCTACTTTACGCTGGTATTTTGTGAGTGCGTAGCCTTTACCCAGTTGAGCCGATCTATTGCAACACCCATGATAGAGCTGCCGATAGCGTAGTTCCAATCATATTGAATAAGCATTGTTATATAAGCTTTGTTTTATTGAAGAAGTGGTTTGTCCCATCAGAAAATAAAAAAGGGTGTCTAAAGTATTTTATTTATATTAATCTCGCATGTTAAATTAAATAAATTATTTTCTTTGTACAGGTTCGTCAGAAGATGGTGGACTGTGCGGTGCATTTAGCTAGACACGTTGGTTACGAGAACGCTGGTACCGTTGAGTTCCTTCTAGACGACAAAGGCAATTTCTATTTCATCGAAGTAAACGCGAGGTTTGCTTCAAATGACTTGTTATATCATTCATCATTTTAAAATTTATTAATTTATGCTGGATAATTTTTAGTAATTATTTATATGTATTTTGGAAATGAAAAATACCCTTCTTCAGGTAAAATTCTTTAAATTATCATCAATACTCAAATTCAACAATGTAATACCGTCTCAAATGAGGTGTACACAGAACTAGGGCAGGTTTTGTCCAAAGCGGAGAGGAGAGGTATGTTTTTTTTTTATAGGATAGGGTGACAAACGAGCACACAGTCCACCTGATGGTAAGTGGTTGCTGTGGCCCACAGACATCTACATTTATCTTCGATTACGAATCAAAATGCAGATGCGTTGTCACCCGTGAGGACTAAGATGGAATGCCTCATTTCCAGTAAAAAGGGTCTCCGGTTCTCTACACTCACCATACGAAACACAGCAGCATCAAGCTACAATTTCACGCTGGTATTCTGTGAGAGCGTGGTCCTTCACCGGTCGAGTCGACCCATTCGTGCTACAACCATGCTACTAATATAACTGCAGCATTGCTCTACCACGTAAAAATACAATAGTCAACTCATGAATAGTCCACTACGTCATTTAAAGGGTTTTATGATAAGATCGGGTCGATGTTGACAGGCCGTGGCGTTTATGTTGTTTTGACAACATAATATGTCAAATCTATTGTATTGTAAAATCTATTGTATTTTATTACTGATGCCAAATCATCATCATATTGATTTGAACAACGCGTACAAATGATAAAATGTTATTATTGTAATGAATGCTCGTTAGTGCGAACATTGCGCGCGTTACGCTCAGTTTGGCATTGTAATTCGAAACGACCGGTTTGATAAACGATCAGCCAACACTAGTACTTCAAAGAAACTGCAGATTGGCCGCGAATATCGCCGTTGTCCGTGAAAGTGCTAAAAAAACTCGATGCAGTCAATTCCACAAGCGCACAAGAACTCGACCTTTCGCAGATTTCAAATTGGCGGATTTTTGCGTAGGGACTTGGACCTGCACCCGTACAAGATCCAACTGATCCAGGGCTAAAGTTAATGACCACAAACAACGCCGTTTCTTCGCTAACTGGGCTTCAGAGCATTTGGAAGTGGACCCCATTTTGGCAGAAAAATCATCTTTAGTGATGAGGCGAATTTTTAGTATTTTGGTGCGATGCCAACCCACACGAGGTTTACCAAATTACCATTCATCCACAATAAGTTACTGTTTGGTGCGAATTTTTTGCCGGCGGCGTCATCGGTCCGTACTTTTTCGAAAACGATGTTGGTAAGACCATCACTGTCAACGGCCAGCGCTACCGATCGATGATAACCAATTTCTTTTGACCCACATTAAACAATATGGACATGGACGATCTGTGATTCCAGCAGGACGGCGCTAAGTGCCATACAGAGGATGTCATTTGAGGGTAAGGTTATCTCTCACAGAGGTGACGTGAATTGGCCACCATGATAGTGCGATTTGACCCCGCCGGATTTTTACTTGTGGGGTTTTCTGTAATCGCAGGTCGATTCCTGTAAGCCTCAATCGACTGACACCCCCAAAGTCAACATAACCCAGACCATCGCTCAAACTCAGACAGATTTATGCGGCAGAGTCACCGAAAATTGGACCTCACAGATCCGGTCCATGAGAAGCCGCGGTGGACACTTAAACGATGTCATAATCCACAGTTAATGGCATTCATGGACCTTTCAAATACCTCTCACACAGATTGTTTCATTCCATTTCAAAATCGACCCGCCCTTATTAGAACAACCTTCATATGTAAAACATCTCCTACACTCTTCTCTCCACATTGATGAAACCAAAAAATTATAGGTGTTACTTTGCAGACATATTATTATGCTGAAAATATCACACTATATTTATGGGCTAACTGCCATTACCACAACCCCGACTCTGGGGTATATACGCCACTATCTATAAAAAAAAATTTATACTTACATCTATATAAATACTATACCTATAAATCTATTAGCGTATTAATATTTTCCTGTATCTATATCCTACACGATAAAAATGTTAGTGAAATTACTAACACACATACATCCTACTGCTTGGCTCTGAGAAAGGAGGAGGAAAAGAGGGGAAAGGAGTTCCCTTTTATTCCCGAGAGCGTTATGGGGTAGGTAAGAGGTCGTCACGCTGTTCCACTGCGATATGATTATGGTTACTTACGAACTCCTTTAAATATATTTAATCCTTCAATCTCTAAGCGGTCGGATTCGACCGTTCACACCCACAGCACTTTAAACTATTAAAACTTATATTTAGAGACTACTTTTCTATAAAGAAGTTTGGCATTATAGAATTAATATAAAATTTTCTATACTCTAGTGCAATAAAAACAGTTATACTATGGATATTTATTTATAATCTAGGTAATTTCGTACGCTATTTTCGCGTGAATATTAGTGTTCGTTTTTGGATTTTTCTAGTGTTTTATTAGTGTTTCAGTATAGTGTTTTATTGTAAAATTGTAATGAAAGTTTTTGTGTGAATGTAATTTATCTTTTTACGTAAATAATTCCGAGTAATATATATTGAAATAATTGTGATTTTCAAGCTGCCGACATTCGCTTGGTATGTTTGGTTTTTGTTATCAAAATATAATAATCTTTTTGTAATGAAGTAAAACCTGACTTTTATATAGATGTTAAACATGTTCTTAGAAAAGTAGTCTCTAAATATAAGTTTTAATGGTTTAAAGAGGATGGGTGCGGTTGCATGCGACCGCTCGGCATTTGACGGACGCATGCGACTGCATGGGAATTTCAAGGGGACTGAGGGGTTAATTTCTCATTCGTTTTCTCCGTGATGTTTACTTTGCGAATAACAATGTTATGAAAGTCACCTTAAGCCCAAATCCTAATTACCACGGCTTATAATGTATAGATTAATATTAAAAAAAATCTTTTATCTAGATTACAGGTAGAGCACACAATAACAGAGGAAGTAACTGGCATAGATCTCGTCCAATCACAAATTCGCATCGCGGAAGGTCTTACTCTACCAGAGATGGGCCTCACTCAGGACAAAATCAAGACGCAGGGTTACGCTATACAATGCCGAGTTACCACCGAGGACCCAGCCAACAACTTCCAGCCCAGTACCGGAAGGATTGAAGTGTTCAGGTATGTCTTTTGTGTACTCTCGATAATTGTCGATAGTTTTACAAATATTATCGGCAGTATTTTTCATCTCGTAAATATCCTATACTTTTATAATAACAAAATGCATTTTTGTTACATGCCTTTTATGTAAAGAAAAAAAAAGCTGGACTTAAGTCAATTGTCGAGCGAAAAGGTTTCAAAACAAGCCCCAGTATCCCCGAAGTTCTAACATCTTTTTGACGTAATATTCATACCAAAATAACCTTCAGCATATTATACTATTATTTTTTAATGAATTAAATAAAAGTTTTCACTGCGCCGGCGACCCGGCGATCTGAGCTCAGCATCGCTCAAGCGCTTGTCGAGGATGGATTTATATTAGTTAATTTCGCGCGCTTCTTCGAGTCGATACGATCGTTTTGAACGTCTATTACCGTATAGACGTTGTTATTGTGTGCGTACAACTACGCACGCTACGAATTACGACCGATAGGAAAAGCTCGATCAATGTCGTTGCGGAAAATATTTTTCTAATTTAAAATTATTGTAATTGACTGAATGTATTTAATAAAATAATGATTAGTTACATTTGTATGTTTTAATTAATTAAACAGGTTACAATCGTACTTGTATTTTTTGTTTCCGTACACATAAAATATACTAGACAGACAAATACGTTTGCAATATATAGAATTCGATGATCCAAAGGTATTGTTTATTTTCAAAGAAATTAAAGTGATCAATCAGCACCGTAAAAATCTTTGGTTTGCGCGCACGTAGTAGAAAGTTTTGACGCTAAATTATTCTTTTACCTAAGTAATACCGGACCTACCTACCTTGGTTATAAACAAGTGCGTTCATTCTTGACCGCACAAAAATTATTTTAACGAATTTTAAAACATGACAGCAAATCAAACGAAGTGCGGGCTATAATATTCTCCTTCAAAATATCTTACAGAAGTACTTTCATACTATCGATATTACTATGTTTCGATTTCTATGAGTATGGAGAACGATTTTCAGACCACTGTACTACGGATGTTAGTTATCAATCGATTTCAACACTTTAACATTTTGAAAGTTTTTCCATCCACCAAACTTCATCGTAAAATATTATAATACGGTGGATCAATATCATTGGAGAAGCAAGTCAACAGATATGAAAGAAAGTATCGCTCGCGTAGTTCTCCGCCCGCTCGGTACGCAAAATACCTAAATTAGCGTAACGTCGAAATTTAAGAGCCCTCTGAAGTTTAAGTTTTAAGGGTACTGAGCGTAGACTTAGGCTCGGTAATTTTTTAATTATTTTTTCTATTAAAATCACCAACGAGATCAGAACCATCAACAAAGACCATCTTAGGTTACTAGTTACATATAATTCCACTTAAAAAGGTAGCTACATCATCTATGACACTAGTTGTTCGATAACTTAATATTAGACAAAAAAATGTGTTAAATAAATATAGACAAAAAATAATGTAATGTAATAAATAAGTAAAACTTGATATTGTTATAGCTAAGCTAGGGGGAAAACGGGATGGGCATGGGATTTTGATTTTGATATATATGCTAAAATATATTTAACGAAAGTCTGATATTAGTTGAAGTACTTGGTTGCTATGTTGCGAATCTTGAGTTTGAATCCCAGCTGGAACTTATATTTGTTCAGTAATAATATGCGTAAAACTTTGTTAATAACCAGTGCCCGGATTGTAAAAAAGTACTGTAAAAATTATAAATTATCTGTAAAAGACATCTATACTCTGTACATAGATATTATTTGAATATATAGAACATTACAACGTATTTTTATATTATCCGTACACAGTGCTGGCATCATTGGCAAAAGTTAAGCCTAAAAGTTAGGCTGACTTTTCTTTCCAAAAATACTGCCTGCTGAAATCGCCCCAGGCCTCCCACCTTTACTTCTTGCTGCGCCACTGTTCATAATGGATTTTACTTTATATTTTTTTTAGATCAGGCGAAGGCATGGGCATTCGTCTCGATTCTGCTTCCACATACGCTGGTGCGATTATCTCTCCTTATTACGATTCGTTGCTTGTTAAGGTAAGTGTATGTTGTCTTGTTAATGATTATTTGCCATAATCGCGTAGCTTATACAGAAAATAGATTGGCAATATATGCTACAAGCCTTAGATGTAAAAACATTTTGATTCTTTTTATACAAATAAAGGTGACAAACAAGCACACGCGCAACCTAATGCTGTTTAAATTGATGATCTAGTGATTGTTAACGGATTCCTGATCATGTAATTCTGGGTTCGAATCCCGGATCATTTCCAAAATTCAGTAATTAGGTTTTTCTGTCAATAAATTCTCAGTAGCCCAGAGTTAGGGAATTTCGCAGTGTTTCACCACCCCCCTGACTCTGAAAGTTCCTGCGCTTAATCTCTCTCCGGTGTCCGTCCCATCAGACTATGGAAGTAAGGGAATGAAGAGTGCACCACTCGTACTCTATAATCCTGACCTGCGCTGACAGCTAGTCATCGTTGAGACTGGTTGCCGTGACCGCTATTTGTTCTGGATAACATTATTATGTGAAAACTGTGGCTCATGTACACTTGCATCTATCCTTGATTAAAATTAAATCGCAAATGGACTTTCACTCCTGTATTATCCTTTCCGATCTTATCAATTAAGTAGTACATCGCTCACGGGTAGGTAAGGCTAATTTTACAGAATCTATGGAATTGATATTGTTACGTGTGGGGTGAGTAAGGCTACGGTCTCCTATTAAATGCTATACGCGACGTCCAACTTCAGCGTAAACGTTCCGATCGGCGTCTGAACGCCAGGCACAGCGTCAGCGGTCAATACATATTAGCAACGGACAACGTCTAGACTTTCGATCACACAACAATAAGTGTGGTTGTGTGTGATATTTGTTCATAAAATGGATATAAATTCAACACTTTTGGCGGCGCTTGTGTTACTTGAAGAAGAGGCACAAGACGACCGTATACGAAGAAAAATAAAGGCAACAAAGCACTGATTATTTATGAAGAGAAATGAGGAAGGATGTTTCCAGCTATTGATAATGAAACACTTAAAAGACAGCGATTCTAAATTTACTGAATATTTTCGTATTAATCAAGAACAATTTAAACATATTGTAGAGCTTATGCAGGAGTATGTAATAAAAGTGCCATCAAAAAAGGCATCCTAAGCCCATATCGGTTGAAGAAAAAGTTTTCCTTTATTAAATTTGGCCATTTTGTACTGACGCTAGACACGACGTTCACGCTGCAATGGTTCAAAATAACTAGAGACGCAGCGCAAAGCGTCTTACGCCGCCTACGACGTCCATACGCCGACGTCAGCGTGTAAAAGAGACCACAACAGTACATTTCTATAGTAAGCATCGTAACGCGGCGTACGGCGTGACGCTGTAAGCGTTTATAGGAGACCACCGCCTAAGAATTCCGATTAGGATGAGAAATTGATTTATTCTTCCACACACTCACAGCAAGTATCAAATCGCTAAGTTTCTTCGGTAAGGTCTTTAACTATCGCAGACTGATGTCGTAAGTAGATTGCTCGTAGTCGCTTCCCGGAGTGGAATTCACCTTCGCGTTCCCGAAATAATCTAACTCTCCGATCGCCGGCACACGCTTTTATACTCGATAAAAGGAATATAGAACTTTCTAAGCCAATCCAGGTCAATCTACTCTTTCAACCGGAAAGTACTAGAACACTCACGATAACAATATCTATGTTTTAGGTGATTTCTCACGCTCATGACCTCCCATCGTCTGCAGCTAAGATGAATCGAGCACTCCGAGAGTTTCGTATTAGAGGCGTCAAGACGAACATTCCCTTCCTGCTTAACGTATTGGAAAATCCAAAGTTCCTGAATGGTAAGTATATATAGGAAGAAGGTTTACGATTTTAGCCCTTTAAGTCTTCATTTGCTGGCTAAATATTCCACTCATTTGCTTAACGATCCGAACAACTGAGCTTTCTTAGTCTTCAGGGGTGACAACGCATTTGCATTTTGATTCTTAATTGAGGATAAATGTGGACGTCTATGGGCCACAGCATCCATTTACCATCGCGTGGATTGTGTACTCGTTTGCCAACTAGTGCTATAAAAAATATATGGCCATAATAAAGCTGCAGCGTGGCTCCACAACGTAAGGCAGATGCGTTGCTACTGCTGAGGACTAAGATGAAATGCTCGGTTATCAGTACAAAGGGTTGACAATTCGCGTCGCACTATTACGCTGGTCCTTCTGATGATGGTGAGCCGGATCAATTTTTTGCCAGCAGTTCTTGCAAGACCAGTACCATAACCATTGCGACCAGTATGACCTATTGTAATCGCTGCTGTGGCTATAGTTTACCGCTACATTTACAATAAATTGCTGGTATTGCTTAGCTGTGAATATTTTTACTTTGTATAGGCTTAGTAAGGTGTTTTCCAGATGAATGCTACGTCTGCGTACTAAATGTCTGCATTCAGTTAAAATATGTAAAGGAATTTCTTCCGCTAGGGAACCGAATATCTAAACATCCTTAAATTACTTAGTCGCAAAATAACCATGTAATTTTTTAAACCGACTCAGGGACAATCCATTCATGCTGCATCTATAATACAGCTATTTTAAGGCTCTTCCACGCAGAGATATATTCCCTGAAATAAAATTTCAGGTGCAGTGGACACGTACTTCATCGACGAAAACCCCCAACTGTTCATGTTCAAGCCTTCGCAGAACAGAGCTCAGAAGATCTTAAACTACCTCGGCTACGTGCTCGTCAACGGACCGGCGACGCCGTTAGCCACTAACATACCGCCATCCGACGTCAAGCCGTACATACCGCCGGTACCACTCGGTGAGTTTTATTTTAATACAGGTTAATATGACTTGTAAAAGTTAACTAGCCGGTCGTGTGCGTTTGTGTGTGTGTGTGTGTATGTGTATATGTGTGTGTGTGTGTGTGTGTGTGTGTGTGTGTGTGTGTGTGTGCGTGTGCGTGTGCGAGCGTGCGCGTGCGCTGCGTGCGCTTGCGTGTGGTGTGCTTGTGTGCGGGTGTGCGAGGCGCGTGTGCGTGCGTGCGTGCGTGCGTGCGTGCGTGCGTGCGTGCGTGCGTGCGTGGGTGCGTTTTTTTTGTTGATTCAAAGTATTCCTGCTTTGAATTTTTATAATCATTATTTTTTAAATTCCATAAATTGTTTTCTATAGTTTAAAAGGTAAAATATCTATATTCCCTGTTTTATTAGTTTTTGACACTCTTATTACGTTACTAATATATGGCTGTGTATATATGTATCTCAAATCGATAAATAAGGAAAAATGAAGTTTTTGTTTAGTCCAGAACTGAGGCTACGATATTTTTTTCAAATATTTCAACATTTTTTCGCAGTCTGCTCTGGGTATGGTATGTGCAAACAATCACCATTCCTTGTTTGCTATTTTTATTTACTTAAAATTTATATATTAAGAGTAAATTCACAGTTATATGTATTATATATTGTTATTACCTACATTACACATACTGCAATCAGAAAGGTTTCAGTGACATTTGGTTGTGGTTTTGATAAGTGTAATTTATAATACAGAAAATTAAAAGAAGAAACATCAAATAAAATTAAGAATGTATCCCTCGGACGTACTCGACTAACAATATTTCAGTTTTCTATTGTCATTATTATTTGCTATTCAATATTAACAATATAATTTTTCTTATTTTACAATCGATATTCGAAATAAAAGGACAGTCGTTTCGTATCGTACGGAAGGATTGTCCTTTTATTGAGCATTTTTTTACTTATTGTTCATTTAAACTGTTTTCATCTGTGCACACCGCGCACTTGCATTGCTGCACTTTTTCATTTTTTTTACTAATAATATTTTCAGACCTTTCACCCGAGGCATTAAAAAGACAGGAATTGACTGGCGAGAACACAGGTAAGGAAATTACGACTATAAATTAAAATTCGACAATTAATAATAAATAACGACATTAATTTCGCTGAATGTCCCTAAAAACTAATGCACGCAAATTATATATATACAGATTTTAACGATATTTATGATTTAAATGGCGCATGCCCGTGTTTGTAAGTAAAGTAACATGTTTGAAAATTTTAGTGTTTATCTAATAGTTTCAAAACATGAAATCCTATAATGAATTTGTGTCAGTATATTCTTTTTATGCACAATTTATTTAATTTTGTACATTTCCTGTCTTTCAATTTTTATGCTCCAAAAAGGTTTACATGAATAACATTATTGTTCACCACAACTTATTCTTTTAATTATTATTAATAACACTTAAAATAAAAGATGTCTATTATCTTACCACATATATATTTACACACAGTTTACTAAACTTAAACAGCTCTACTTAACCTGTAGCTCACAAGGTCACGACATTTTCATTAATACTGGATTGATTGTCTAACACAAATGTAGATGTATAGCCATTCATCACTTCATTAGATTTCCTACTAACATTTTTACTTCGTCTCGTTGGCTTATACAATATAATTTTTAGAACAGTTTAGCAAACTATACTATGTAGATGCGGTGTAAGAATTTTATTTATTTGTATAGAAAAGGGCACACAATCCACCTTATGGTAAGTGAACGATAAGGCCCATAGATATCTGTATTTAACCTGAATTAAGAATCGAAAAGCAGATGCGTTGTTACCCTTTGTAAAAGGGTCTTCACTGCTACACACATACGAAACACGGCAGCATTAAGCTGCTACTTTATTCTGGTATTCTTTATTTCATACTGGTATTCTGTGAGAGTTCCCCGTGTAGTGGTGGGTAAGAATACCTACTACCACATATCTTCCCGTGGGTGTCGTAAGAGGCGATAGAAAGTAACTGAGGCAGAAAATTGACGGCAGCATCTTTCTGATAACAGCAAAAAGCAATAAAAAAACTGCGATTGCCAACCCGCTCGCCAAGCACGGCAACTATGGTAATATACCCCCCACATAAGCAACTACACAAAAAAGGCCCCCATTCCCCAGCGGCTCCGCTATTCCTGGTTACGGTAGCGACCATGGTTACGGCAGGGCAGCGGGTGCTAAGAATCTCCGGTGGAGGTTCGGTTGCCACCTACAACAACTCGACCTAGCAACATGTAACGCACGCACCCTGAGGACTGATGAGAAGATCCTGGAGCTGGAAGAAGAGATAGACAAGTTGCGCTGGGATATTGTAGGATTATCTGAGGTCCGAAGAGAGGGGGAAGACAGTTAACAACGTTGTATAGATTGGGAGTGTGTCGGCGAGGGTTGCGTACCGTATACTCAGAATCACTAAACGGTATTCGCTGAAGGTCGTACAGGTTTACTCACTAACCTCGGCACATCCCGATGAGGAGCCATGCATTCCTCCAAAATTCACTATACGGTGTCAATGGGAGATTTCAACGCAAAACTAGGCACAAGAGAGAACGGTGAGCTGAAAGTGGGGAAATTCTGAATAGGACAACGAAACTCAAGGGCGTAGCAGCTGGCCGGCTTTATGGAGAAAAGGGGACTCTTTATGATAAACTTTTACTTCCAAATGCGGCCTCACAGAAAGTGAACGTGTTCGAGCTCTTACGATTCGACAAAAAATGAGATTGACTTCATTATGAGAGTGATGTCTCAATGATCGCAAGTGTGAAAACTGGCACCGATCCTAACTAAACGTGAAGTTGGAGAGATCACGTCTAATGAAGTCAATACTCCGTCCCCCTCGTGCTCTAATCCAGCCCCGAAAACATTCAGCTCGAGTTACAAAATCGACTTCGGTGCCTAGAAGGCTGCAACGAAGTGAACGATATGAATGACAAGCTTGTTGAAACTAGGTCGGAGCCAAGTTCTGTAAGACCCGTCGCAGAACATAAAAACTCTCCGATCACACTCTTAGTCTCATGGCTTTAGACGGGAAATGAAGCTGCAGTCTTCAGCAGATTTGACAGCATACAGGAAAATGAACAGATAAATTTGCAAATCCATACAGCGGGACTTACGCAACTTCAATTCAGCTCATATTAAAGAAGCGATCGAGCGGAACCAGGGCTCCAAAGTCTATGCAAGAAAGAGCCATATGTCAAAGCCGAAGATTGAATGTGCGGGTTAAAGCGGGTGGCAAACCGATACTTCAAGTCCTTCAGAAGCCTTTTAACTTCAATTCCGTCCTCCATGGTGGCACTACTCCGGAGGCGTGGAGCAGAAGTGTGGTTGTCTTGTTCTTCAAGAAGGGCGACAACGCTCTCTTGAAGAACTACAGACCGATTTCCCTTCTGAGTCGCGCGCAGACTCGGCGACTTCCAACCTCCCGAACAAGCCGGTTTTCGAAAAGGCTAGCACCATACACCACATACATACCCTTCGGTAAATTGTACAGAAGTCAGAAGATTACAATCTTTCACTTTGTCTTGCGTATGTGGACTATGAGAAAGCCTTTGATTCCGTCGCGGTGCATCGGGCGGTGCTACAGTCCCTTCAGCTGTGCCAAGTTGACTGTCGGTATATCGAATTGCTAAAGTGTTTGTACAGTAGGACAACGATGGCTATCCGAGTACAGAACCAGAGTATGAAACCTATCCAGACTGCAGAGAGGTGTAAGACAGGGTGACGTAATATCCCCGAAACTCTTCACCGCTGTAGTGGAAGATGTTTCTAAGCCACTGGACTGGAAAGGATATACGGTATTAACGTAGTTGGGGAGTACATTACTCACTTTCGGTTTGCCGACAATATAGTCCTTATGGTATAATCGCTGGAGGACCTAAACACTATGCTCAATGACCTTGACTTGTGAAGGGCTGTAATGATGTTGATGATTTTGTGAGAGTGTGGTTTTTCCAAGGCTAACCATTCGTGTTACAATAATAATATAACTGTAGCATGCCTCCATTGGAGTAGCACCTTTTAAAATATGGATGTTGAATTAATTTATTTATATCACGTTTTATTTTTATTTTACTTATATTTGATTCCCGATGTTTCGGGTGTTTTGCAGCACATATGGACACGGGGTGACTATACACGCGATAAAATCTCCAAAAATAGTTTTATTTCAATCTGTAGTGTTCGCGTAAATATAAGAAATCATTTTATTATCGTTTAGTGGCGTTGTATGAATATCCACTACTCCATATCATCCCGTGGGTGTCGTAAGGACAGAGGGCAACAGATTAGGAGATGGGCAGCAGCGTCGATAACGATATAAAACAAAAACTGAGATTGCCAACCCGCTTGCCAAGCATGGCAACCGTTGCAAATGACTTCCATAGATTTTAATAGGTTGTAACGGATTATGATAGTGGGGATTCTGTCGCAGCTGTGCAGCCACCCAAGGGGTTCAAGCAGATCCTGGACGAGGGCGGGCCCGAGGCGTTCGCCCGCGCAGTGCGGCAGCACTCGGGGCTGCTGCTGATGGACACGACGTTTCGCGATGCGCACCAGTCGCTGCTGGCCACGCGCGTGCGCACGCACGACCTGCTGGCGGCCGCGCCGTACGTAGCGCACCACTTCAGCGGCCTGTACGCGCTCGAGAACTGGGGCGGCGCCACATTTGACGTCGCGCTACGGTAACACTGATTATTTTTTTATATAGGATAATTTGTCAAACGAGGACACAGGTCACCTGATGGTAAGTAGTTGCTGTGGTGTGTCTATCCTCGATTACGAATCAAAATGCAGATGCGTTATCACCCGTGAGGACTTAGATGGAATGCCTCATTTACAGTAACAGGGTTCTCCTGTTCTCTATACTCACCATACGAAACACAGCAGCATTAAGCTACTATTTTACGCTGGTATTCTGTGAGAGAGTGGTTCTTTCCCGGTGGAGCCGACCCATTCGTGCTACAACTATACTACTAATATAATTGCAGCATGGCTCTACCACGTATAAAACTAACACTGATTTACTTTCCTTATATTATAATAAATACTCCCTGGAGAACTGGGGTTGAATTTGTTTTTTTTTAATTACTAAATATGGCAACCCTGGTCATTGGTAATGATTTTATACAAAACTACAAACTACAATATAATAACGTAATTATACAAAAATATCATAATTATAAAAAAGAAACAAAAGATATTTTACAAAATGGGACTCTGATTTTGTTTCATTATTGTGTACTGCAATATACAACCATCCTTTTTTATATAGTAATGGTGACAAACAACCACACAGTTCACAGGCCTGATAATAAGAGGATGCTGTAACCCATAGACATCTACATTTATTCTCGATTAAGAATCAAAATGACCTCAATGGTTCCTCCCAACGGATAGGTCTTAAGATGAACATGGACAAAACAAAGATCATGTTTAATTTCCATGTCACAGCTATGCCGGTAGTTGTTGGGAGCACTATGCTCGAAGTTGTTGGAGAGTACGTTTACCTGGGACAAATAGTCCGACTAGGTCAGTCCAACTTCGACCGAGAGGTCAATCGACGGATTCAACTCAGCTGGGCAGCGTTCGGAAAATTACGACACATCTCGTCAGGTATACCTCAAAACCTAAAAACTATTTTGTTTAACCAGTGCGTGTTGCCAGTGATGACTTAGGGATCTGAGACGTGGTCCTTCACTGCTGGCCATATGAGGACGCTCAAGGTCGCACAGCGAACTATGGAGAGGACTATGCTCGGAGCTTCTCTGCGTGATGAACTTAGAAATGAGGATATCCGCAGTAGAACCAGAGTGACTGACATAGCCCAACGGATTAGTAAGCTGAAGTGGCAATAGGCCGGCCATATAGTTCGAAGAACCGACAACCGTTGGGGAAAAAAGGTTCTCGAGTGGTAGCCTCGTACCGGTAGGTGAAGTGTAGGGCGTCTCCCCACTAGATAGAGTGACGACCTGGTAAGACATGCAGGAAGTCGATGGATGCAGGTAGCTCAGGACCGTGCTTTGTGGCATACCTTGGGGGAGGCCTATGTTCAGCAGTGAACTTGTGAAGTGCTGTAATGATGATGATGATGAAGAATCAAAATGCAGATGCGTCGTCACCACTGAGAACTAAGATGTAATACCTCGATACGAAACATAACAGCATTAAGCTGCTAAATTTACTTTCCTTATAATACGGCTTTGTGAATTAAGGCGGAGCCACCTTCGATATCGCGCTACATTGACTTGGATTTACTTTCCTTACAATATGTATAATAATAGATTTACTTTCCTTATAAAATGTATAATAATATATAATACAGAATCAGATTATTAAGACCACCAACTATCGAAAATACATCTTAAAGATTGGACATTCCAGCGAGTCACTTAAACATGTCTTCTTTGGTTCTTCGGCGCTATCTGAAATTAAGTATTTGCACAGACACAACCTAGTAACCAGGATCATACACCAGTCGCTCGACATGAAGTACAATCTCGTAAATTGGAAATTGCCTTATACTTACGAGAAACCGTGCTCCAAAATGACCGCGCCGGGCTCTACTGTGACCGAGCCATCATCACACACAAGTCTGTTCTTGCAAATAATCCTGATATTCTGCTGATGCACCGAACACAGTCAAAGATATTTTTGGTCGACATTACCATTTCGTATGACGAGAACTTCATGAAAGCCGAAATAGATAATGATTTCTTATATTTGCGCGAACACTACACATTTAAATAATACTAGGTAGTTTTTACGGAATTTATCGCGTATATTTAACTTTTTAAATACCCGACTATTTCATAACCAATAAGTAAGTGGCGAAGTTAATTTAGGTTATGTTCGAAGTTTATTAAGATTTAAAGTTAAAAAAATTTAGTTTTTATTTTGATCTGTGACTAAACATAAACGTTTCTATTTTATATTACCTGATATTTTTTGAGAACAAGGTGAAAACGGTGTATTAATGTACTTACTCTAAACTGAGCGGGACCACTGATATGGCGGTCTACTTAAACCATCACGTTTTGGAGGATTGTTTAAGTGATTAATTAATTTTGTTCTCAGGTTTCTACACGAATGTCCTTGGGAGAGACTGGAAGACATGAGACGGTTGATCCCCAACATTCCGTTCCAGATGCTTCTGCGGGGAGCCAACGCTGTCGGGTATACCAACTATCCTGACAACGTCGTTTACAAGTTCTGCGATATGGCCGTGAGTAATTCAGAACTTTTCTCGCATAAAAAAATTCTTAAAATTGTTGCAAATTAAACCTTAAGTTTTTAACATTAACGTGCATTTTCAGGTGAAAGCTGGTATGGATATTTTCCGAGTTTTCGATTCCCTCAATTACCTTCCTAACTTGATCCTCGGTATGGATGCCGCTGGTAAAGCCGGTGGTGTCGTCGAAGCTGCTATTTCTTACACAGGAGATGTCTCCGATCCTACTAAGACGAAATACGACCTGAAATATTATTTGAACTTGGCAGATGAATTAGTTAAAGCTGGAACACACGTATTGGCAATTAAGGATATGGCTGGTTTGTTGAAACCACGTGCTGCTAAGTAAGTACTTGTTTATTTAAGATAATTTTAAAATTGCTAGAGACGATTGTTGTAAAGTGTATCCTATATCTCTATACCAATTTTCAATTAAATGTCCTTCAACCTTTTTAATGAAATTGGATTATTACTACAAGAAAAAATATATTTACCTATATACAATATGTAACGTAATTAACGCACTCCCTCAGACACCCCAATTAGTATATTATGTTATAATCACAATACATACACTGAATTTTTAGTTAAACATTTTTATGCACTGATTATTTATCAAATTAGTTATACTAGTTCCAGAAGAATGTTATGGTCACAGTACAAATCCACGAACGCAAAGACTTTAATGTGCTTGAAATAAAGTTCATTTTTCTTTATTTTTATTGAACGACAGAATTAGTAATAATACAAATAAAACTGCACTCTTAAAAGTCTTATTGCCTTAAGTTACGGTCCATTTCAGTTTGTTTTGACTGTACAGATTTAGTGTGACTGTAATTTACGTAGTTTTAGTTATTTTTGGGATAAAAAATTTCCTATATTAAAAATGATAGGAATCGATTCAGTAAACGATTCTGAACAAACTACTTCCAGGATGTGCGTTAATTATGTTACATGTTTTATACACTTTGGAATATGTGAAATATTTGACAGATTTATAGCTAGGATAAGTTAGTTTGTTATAAAAGTGTAAACGTTATTATCTTTTAGAAATGTTAGTTATATTTTTATATTAATTAAAGTCCGCGCGTTATGTCTTATTGTTCTGTCTCGGACGTTCGCGCATGTACAGACGCTATACGATATGTGTACGTGCCACTTCATATTCGATCCTAAGATTGCTTTGGGGAAATAGTTTGATTTGTCTATTATAAAGTAAATTGAAAATTATTATTGTTATGAAAATATCTTCTATGTATTCCAATAAAATAACAGTCAACAAATAATTATGATAAAAAATTGAAATATAGTAGACACAATATTATCGGGAACAACAAATTCTCTCAGTAACCGTACTTCTAAAAGTATATCGTACATGTAAAAATTTTGACTTAAAATATTGTTAACGAGATATCTTTCACCTTAAATATAATAGTTATAAAAAATTGTAAAACTTAATTTATAATTGGTAGCTTCACTATTGTATGTATTGTATTACTTTTAACTGCTTAGTACTTAATGTATAAAAAATATTCCATAAATACCGTTTAGTTATTTTTTTTTTAATTTTTATACATATAATGTTGCAAGCTTTTAATATGTATTAGATATCTGTGGAAAATTCTTTGGTTTTAGGATTACTATTATATGTTTTTTATAATGTATTTTTTATTGTGCTGTATATTTTCCTTAAAAGCAAATAAATAAATAAAGAAAACCCTTAAAATAAAATAACTTTAAAATTTTCATTTAAAAAATTTAATGCACGTCATTATAATCACTACATTTAAAATGACATGTTATATTGACAAAAAGAAATACAAAAACTTTATTTCGACATAAAAATATTATAATAAATGTTTAACACATCAATGAACTATTAAAATTATATGTTAAAATCGAATCATAATAGACATAATCAAAATGATAAAAAGTATAAAGAGAAAACCACTAAGGCGTTATATTGTATATTAACATAGTACTCTAGAAACTGATAAGCATTAACTAAAAACTAATATCTCAATTAAATGGCATTGTGTGACATAAACTATTTCAGTCCCAAGTAACGACATCTGGTGAGCGGAAGATTATTAGCCCTCATTAAGATGAGTTTATGTGATTGCAGACTGCTGATCACGGCGATCCGGGACAAGCACCCGTCGGTGCCGATCCACGTGCACACGCACGACACGTCGGGCGCGGGCGTGGCGTCGATGTTGGCGTGCGCGCACGCCGGGGCCGACGTTGTGGACGTGGCCGTGGACGCCATGTCCGGACTCACCAGCCAGCCCAGCATGGGCGCCGTCGTCGCCTCGCTGCAGGGCGACCCCCTACACACCGGTACGTACGTGCACGTGGCCGTGGACGCCATGTCCGACCTCTCCAGCTAGCCCAACACGTGCGCCGTCGTCGTTTCTCTACAGGGCAACCCCTTTTACCCTACCCCTACACACCGGTACGTACGTGGACATGGCCGTGGACGCCATGTCCGGCCTCATCAGCCAGCCCAGCATGGGCGCCGTCGTCGCCTCGATGCATGGCGACCAACTACACACCGGTACGTACGTGGACGCCATGTCCGGCCTCATCAGCCAGCCCAGCATGGGCGCCGTCGTCGCCTCGCTGCATGGCGACCCCTTACACACCGGTACGTACGTGGACGTGGCCGTGGACACCATGTCCGGTCTCACCAGCCAGTCCAGCATGGGCGCCGTCGTCGCCTCGCTGCATGGCGACCCCTACACACCGGTACGTACGTGGACGCCATGTCCGGCCTCACCAGCCAACCCAGCATGGGCGCCGTCGTTGCCTCGCTGCAGGGAGACCCCTTACACACCGGTACGTACGTGGACGTGGCCGTGGACGCCATGTCCGGCCTCATCAGCCAGCCCGGCATGGGCGCCGTCGTCGCCTCGCTGCATGGCGACCCCTACACACCGGTACGTACGTGGACGCCATGTCCGGCCTCACCAGCCAACCCAGCATGGGCGCCGTCGTCGCCTCGCTGCAGGGCGACCCCTTACACACCGGTACGTACGTGGACGTGGCCGTGGACACCATGTCCGGTCTCACCACCCAGTCCAGCATGGGCGCCGTCGTCGCCTCGCTGCATGGCGACCCCTTACACACCGGTACGTACGTGGACGTGGTACCATGTCCGGCCTCAGCAGCCAGCCCAGCATGGGTGCCGTCGTCGCCTCGCTGCATGGCGACCCCTTACACACCGGTACGTACGTGGACGTGGCCGTGGACGCCATGTCCGGCCTCACCGGCCAGCCCAGCATGGGCGCCGTCGTCGCCTCGCTGCATGGCGACCCCTACACACCGGTACGTACGTGGACGCCATGTCCGGCCTCACCAGCCAGCCCAGCATGGGCGCCGTCGTCGCCTCGCTGCAGGGGGACCCCTTACACACTGGTACGTACGTGGACATGGCCGTGGACGCCATGTCCGGCCTCACCAGCCAGCCCAGCATGGACGCCGTCGTCGCCTCGCTGCAGGGAGACCCCCTACACACTGGTACGTACGTGGACGTGGCCATGGACGCCATGTTCGGCTTCACCAGCCGGCCCAGCTTGGCGCCGTCATCGCCTCGCGGCAGGGCGACGCCCTACACACTGGTACCTTCAGTTCGCCATTTTTTTAGTTTTAATTTAAAAAGGTTTACGTTGCAGCGTTTTTTTTTAAAATGAGGATTACAAATGAGCCATCTAATGGTACGCTCGCTCTAAATTTCACAATACGCGAGCAAACCGGGTTCGATCCCCGCCCGCACCAATGAAATTGTTAATTGCAATTTTAAGTGCTGATTTACCACGTGCTCGGCGGTGAAGGAAAATATCGTGAGGAAACCTGCATGTCTGAGAAATAAAATAAAATATTTCAAGGCATGTGAAGTTCGCCAACATGCACTGGGGAGCGGGACGGACACTTCCTTGCCCTAAAACCCTCTCAGAAATGAGAGGAAGCCTGTGACCAGCAGTGGGACGTATATAGGCTGTAACTTTACTTTACTTTTTACAGGTATACCCCTGCAGATAGTATCGGAATACTCAGCTTATTGGGAACAAGCGCGAACCCTATACGGACCCTTCGAATGCACAGCCACCATGAAATCTGGCAACGCGGACGTTTATATGAATGAAATACCCGGTGGACAGTACACCAACCTTCAGTTCCAGGCCTTTTCTCTTGGATTAGGCAGCCAGTTTGAAGAAGTTAAAAAAGCATACAGGTATTTAACCAAATAGATTAAATTTTTTGAGGACTGTTGACATTTTTAATCACATACGAAAATAGAGGAGTGTTATATGTATAAGTTTCAAGTGTGTATCTATCTGTCTGGCGCAGTTGTCGTGATAAAGAAATCACCCGAGCGAAGCCGGGGCTACTATGGGGACACAACTATTACCGATTCACATTTGTTTCGTCGAACCGATAGCTCATTCCCGATATTTATTATATTACCTATTTCTTATATATATATTACCGATATTCTATATTTATGGACCAAAGTATTAAAAAGGAAATGACAAAATCTGGAACCGATAACTAGCGCTATGTTTGAATTATTATATAATACTGTAAAAAGTCCTGAATGAATTTCGATTGTGTTTTGTATGATGTATAATATACTATAGTCAACCAAATCTAAGAAATACATTTTTTGACAGCTGTCAGACTTATTGCACCAGGCATGCCAATCAAAAAATTGGGAAGGTACAATATTCAATTCTAAAAATTGGTATCGATTATTTAGGTTGCTAATTATTTACACACTTTGGTTTGAATAATACCAGAATAAATTAAAAATGGATAATTTAAAACACAAGATTTATCAGTTTATACGTATTTGTTGTTACTGCTTATTTCTAGAGGCACAGTTATAAAAATTTAAGATTAAAACTAGATTAAAAATAAATTTATTCAATCACTTTCAGTACAACTAGTTGAGCTGTCTTTGTTTAGATTAATTATTATTTGTTTTTCAATAATGCAGTCAAAATTAATGTTTCAAAGTCATCCATAATAATTTTTTTTTGTTTTTTTTTCCTACCACTTTTGCCCAATGATCCTTTATGACATGGGAACGTGCTTAAATGAATATAGAAGAAACAGTCCAAATAGTTAAAGAGCAGTCACAAAATAAGAAGGCAAACACAAAATCACAAAATTACGCACAGTAAGCTCCCAAAATGGCGGATATTGAAATTACGTAGTGATTTTTTTCAGCGCAGCCTTGTAATATGAGTTTTTTGCCTACACAAATTTACGTTGACAAATAAAAAAAATAAACTTGTTTTATTCATGATTAAACTAAACTTAAGGAATTTTAAAAAATAATAATTAAATTAAACAAGTAATAAAATAACATAATTAATGATACGATTATTTGAATATTTTTACCGATTACTTGAATATTTTTGCCGATTATTCGCATAACAATAAATTTTAATCATGCAAGCACTACGGTAATGTACATAGCGACGTATCGTTGAAAAAAAGTCAAGTCAAGTCAAGTAAAAAAAAGTTGATACTGGTTATTTTTTAATATCTTGCTTTGTTTGAAAGATTCAATTTTAAATTAGTGATAAAAAAAACTATACACTTTGTAAGGAAATATAGATAACTTTATAATTCTTCGGATTTACATAAAACGTTATTTTAAATTGTGTGAGTACGCTTGTGCAAAGTTATTGCTGAATGATTAATGCGAAACGTCAGAAGGTATTTCTTAGATTTGGTTGACTATAAATGATTTTTATCGTCACGTCATACTGAGCTGACTGAACGATTTATGAAATTGATAATGATGGCCTTCTCTTTGGTATTAAACATTGGTACTCGGGATATGTAATTGATTTGAGATTTTTGGAATTCATACCCAACTGCTTTACCCAAAGACTCCGCAATTACAAATAGGTTTTCATTGGGTTTTAGGGGGGATGCCCTTTATATCAACATTACTCAGCCGTGACCATTGTTCCTTGGTCTCAATAACACTTTTAAGATTAGCTATTTCCTTGTTGGCCACAGCGAGAGAATTTTGAATTTTTTCAATCTGAGATACACCATGTTCCAAACTGGAGTCTTGATCTTGAAAAGATTTAAGTGAACTACTGTTGTACTCACAAGACTCCTTCAGATGGATTAATTCAACTTTAATAGATTTGATGTCTTCGATAATAGTAGGAACTGTTGTGACCAGCTTCTTCATCTCACGAATCTCCTTAAGAATAACATCCAGGGTCGCCGACTCCCCACCAGAATTGCCACCAGGGGTGGCTTCAGAACTTGGACGGGAGGGGCTGAAGGAAACCTTTTTGCACTGAAGGCATTTCCATTGTGCTCTTCCAGACAGACAGAAAGGCAGACATATAAACTCTCGATGGAAAAGAAATCCGGATAGATTATTATTAAGTGTCATTCCGAGATCTGCCAAATTTAAAAAATTGTTTAGCAATGTGTTAAGGTGTATAATAAGATCCCCAATGACATCAAAAACCTCAAAATGAATTTATTCAAATCGAGAGTCTATAAGTGGCTTATTGAACTTAAAGTGTATGACATTGAAGAATTTATTGACATTAGGCTTCAATAATAATTGATGTGTTGACATTGATTTTAATTAATATATTTGACCCTTTTGAAATAAATGTAACCTGAAATGTATGCACACAACTTGTATTTGTAAATGTACACAACTTAAATTTGCATGCTAATTATAAGCAAAACGTGAACTTATTTTACTGTACCACCTACAAACACCATGTTTTAGGCAAATAAAGAAATTATTATTATTATTATTGCCGTCTGGAAAAAAAATAGGGTGTGACAGGTAAATACTACTTATTTGAAATATACTTTCCGTACTAAAAAATAAAACAAAAATTTTGAATTAAATAAATAAATCATTTAAAATTTATCGAAATTCATATCATACACACCATACTTTACGAAACAATAAATTAAGTGGGCCTCTTTGTCCTTTCCGTTTCGCAGGGTTACAGGCTCAAGGGCAAAGCCGCCCGCGCTCTTCAGCGAGCTGTGAGTAGCTGCGCGCGTATTGTTTATGTTTCCGCGAGTATATCGTTAACATATGCCAATACTTTAATGTATAATTTTGTAAATACCATTCTGTGTAGTTTGTACTCGTAAATAAGTTGATTTCGTACTTTGTAAAACGCTTAAGATGTTGCAGTATACGGTAGGCATAAAATTCGTAGCCTACGCCGCGCCGTTTAAAACTATCTTTAGTTTTATGCTAATGCGGTTGGATGAATAGCTTTTATGTATTATTTTGGATATTGTAGAGTAATATTTTACAAAATAATTTCGAGGACAGCTTTTATTCCCGAAATATTTTTTACCACCATATTATTTTCCAGATGGTAAAAATAGTCACCCAGTAGATTTTATTAACTACCTACCGGGAAGGGCAAAGCATCGTCTGCCCTTTTCGGTAGGTTCTGTAGGTATAAAATCTTAATTTCGTTGAAGGCCAGAAAAACTTTTGCCTATAACCAATCTATTTTTTCCAGGGAAGCCAATCTCTTACTCGGTGATATAATTAAAGTAACACCTTCATCGAAAGTAGTTGGTGATTTAGCTCAATTTATGGTGCAAAACAAATTAACTGCTAAAGAAATAGAAGAGAGAGCCGAGGACCTTTCTTTTCCCAAATCTGTTGTTGAATTCCTTCAGGGTGCTATTGGTATACCTTATGGAGGGTTCCCTGAACCACTAAGGTAAACGAAAAATAAATGTTTACGTTATAATTTTTTTAAACTGTTCTTTTGTTATTATCCTATACAATTCCTTCCTTTTTAAATTTGGAAATAAAACTTTGCATGACCTTGTTTACTTTTAGATCCAAAGTACTGAAGGACATGCCAAGGATAGAAGGCCGACCTGGACAAGAGTTGTTACCTCTTGACTTCGACAAATTAAAGAAGGACTTAATGGAATCCTTCCCAGATGTAAGTAATAGTTAATTAAAAAAAAAGTCTCTCGGGAATTTGAAGGGCCATTACCCAACAGTGGGATGTATGTAGGCTGTTACTTAAAAAAGGTAGTATTGATTTCTATATTTAATTTTATATTTCCAGGTATCAGATCATGATGTGATGTCAGCTGCAATGTACCCGCAGGTTGCGAACGATTTCTTCCGCATTCGAGACAAATATGGACCTGTCAAACACTTGGACACAAAGACGTTCCTCGTTGGACCAACGGTTGGATTTATATTTATAATTAAATTTGCTTATTTTTTTCTAAAATCGTACAACATACACTATTCAAACGCACGACTTTTGAGCCTTGATCATACTATGTAATTTTATTAATTTTAACTCATGAGTATATTCTGGATATGTTTAATTTTTGAAAATGCTTAAAAAATATTTTATCGCTATAATATACTTACTTGATACATGATGTATATCGTTAGCAACATAGTAAGTTATTTCTTTGTAATTTTAGGTTATTTTATGCCTTAATTTAACATTTAAATTTAATTCTGTATTTTGCCTTATAACACTAAATAAATTTTAATTATTTACCTTATACAGATTGGAGAAAGAATCGAAGTTACTATCGAGCGTGGAAAAACTCTAGACATAAAGATTCTGGCAGTGTCAGAAGAAATGACCGCGGCCGGCGAGAGGGAGGTGTTCTTTGAACTGAACGGTCAGCTACGATCGGTCTTTATTCGTGACGAGAACGCTAGCAAGGTAAAGAAAACAGATTATTTCTCTAATTCTCAATTTTCAACCGACGTAAAAGAAGGAAGAGGTTCTCAATTCGACTGTATTTTTTATGCGAACTTTTTTTTCTAGGTTTATCGATTTTGATGAATCTTTTTTATTTGAAAGCTGGTGCTTTTCATGTGGTCCCATATAAATTTGATCAAGATCTGACCAGTAGTTTTTGAGTTATACTTAATAATGCCTATTTAATTGACTTCGACTACATTAATGATGTTCTCATTTTATTTATATTGAAGTTGGTTGTACAAAACTTTAAATTTTACCATTTGTTAATTTTTAATGTTTATCTTATTTTCCTTTTTAACCAAGTATTGGATCATGGGAAACAACGTAAATAGAATTTAAAAAAATTTATACAAAAGGCTCTTGTTATACTTTATACATTGTTCCAATCCCGAGGAGTTGCCATATTACGTATTCGTAAAATGTACTATAATAGTAATTAAAACTTCCTTTATTTAGGAAATGAAAATCCATCCAAAAGCTGTTAAAGGCAATAAGGATCAAGTTGGTGCTCCTATGCCCGGAACCGTTCTCAGTAAGTATTAGTAGTAAGTAAGTATGTACGGCCCACAAATAATTGTTTCTGGTGTGGATGTTAGGTCATGTGCCATTTATAAATGTAAAATGCCTCTACTATACATGACAAAATCCTGCTGAAAGTAAAAATTAGCTATAGAAGAAAATGGTCTATTTTTTTTCTTTGGTAAATTAATCTCAATTAGAATCAAAAGAACTTAATCAGTTCTTGATTGTATCCAGAATAATTTTAACTTTTATAATTACCCAATGTTTCGAATACTTTGTTGCATACATAATCATGTTGGTATTGAGTAACTTTCAATTACAATATCGTAGTAACCAAGTTACCCAATAAAATAAGTTACAATAATTCGATCACATTAGTCCAATATATATATATATATATTATAATTAATAATTATAATTAGCCCGCCACAGTTAATGCCTCTGGTACATGGCGACACTAGTTACCACTAGCGCCTTCTAGTATCGAGTAGCTGAACTAGGAGTCAAGATCAAATAACAGTACTACTCACGTAAATACAACATATCATTACATATTTAAAACATTTCATTTTATTATTTAATATGTTTGCATTAATGTTCTTTTATGTTAGACCTTACCAACAAAGTAAGGAAGACGAGCCCTGCGTACTTTTCAAATGACGCAAAAACCAAGCCAAAACCATACTCAAATTATTGTAAATTTTGAGTATTTGGTCAGTGTTAGACTGATACTATTGAATTCATTTGTTGTTTTTTCAGTATATTTATAGAAAGTACATTATCAAATCTTTTAGTTTTGCTATTCCAAACAATACTTTTGAAGTCACAGTGATTTTTAAAATAAATACCATTTACTCCATAAAAGACATGTGCGTCGTTCAGTAAGACATCAGGTATATATGATATACCTGATGTCTTACCCATTTGACGTTGCTATCCGTCGCTGATCTAGGATCACTGCCATATGTAGGTATCATCTAGTCAAGTCAACGCTCCGTCCCCTCGTGCGCTAATCCAGGGTCCCGAAAACTTTCAGCTCGAATTACAAAACCGTTTTCAGTGCCTAGAAGACCGCAATATAGTGGACGATATGAATGACAAGGAAACTGACCATGCGGTCGGAGCTAAGTTCTGCAAGACCGGCCGCAGAAGAACACAAAAACTCTCCGATCACACTCTTAATCTCACAGATGTTGGACGGGCGATGAAGCTGCAGTCGTCAGCAGATTTGACAGTATACAGGCAACTGAACAGACAGATCTCCAAATGCATGCGGCGAAACTTACGCAACTTCAATACAGCTCGTATTGAAGAAGCGATTGAGCGGAACCAGGGCTCCAAAGTCTTTGCCAGAGATCTGTCTGCCAGAAAGAGCCAACTGTCAAAGCTGAAGACTGAGTGTGGCAGCATCGTTTCCGGGACACCTGAGATTTTGAGTGAAATTGAGAGGTTCTATGGGCAGCTATACACATCATCGTTGGAGCCACACGCAAGTGTGAGTAACGATCCAAGAGCAAGTCTTATCCGACACTATTCCGATGATATCCCGGACGTCAGTCTGAGCGAGATTAGAATGGCTCTCCAGCACCTTAAAAACGGCAAGTCCCCGGGCGAAGATGGAATTACAGCGGAGCTTTTGAAAGTGGGTGGAAAACCGGTACTTGAAGTCCTTCAGAAGCTCTTTAATTCCGTCCTTCATGGAGGCACTACTCCCGAGGCGTGGAGCAGAAGTGCGGTGGTCTTGTTCTTCAAGAAAGGTGACAACACCCTCTTGAAGAACTACAGGCCGATATCCCTTCTAAGCCGTGTCTACGTGCTGTTTTCGAGAGTCATTACGAACCGTCTCGCACGCAGATTCGACGACTTCCAGCCTCCCGAACAAGCCGGTTTCCGAAAAGGCTTTAGTACCATAGACCACATACATACGCTTCGGCAAATTGTACAGAAGTCCGAAGAGTACAATCTGCCACTTTGAATGGCGTATGCGGACCATAAGAAAGCATTTGATTCTGTCGAAATTTGTGCGGTGCTCCAGTCTCTTCAGCGGTGCCAAGTTGAATGTCGGTATATCGAAGTGCTGAAGTGTTTGTACAGTAGGGCTACGATGGTTATCCGAGTACAGAACCAGAGTACGAAACCTATCCAACTGCAGAAAGGTGTAAGACAGGGTGACGTTATTTTCCCGAAACTCTTCACCGCTGCATCGGAAGACGTTTTCAAGCTATTAACATCAATGGCAAGTATATCACTCACCTTCGATTTGCCGACGATATAGTCCTTATGGCAGAATCGCTGGAGGACTTAAGCACTATGCTCAATGACCTCTAAAATGCCTCCGAACGGATCAGCTCGGATCAACGGATAGGTCTTAAGATGAACATGGACAAAACAAAGATCATGTTTAATGTCCATGTCCGTGCCCGTAGTTGTTGGGAGCACTAAGGTCGAAGTTGTTGACGAGTACGTTTACCTGGGACAAATAGTCCTACTAGGTAAGTCCAACTTCGACCGAGAGGTCAATCGACGGATTCAACTCGGCTGGGCAGCGTTCGGGAAATTACGACACATCTTCTCGTCAGGTATACCTCAAAACCTGAAAACTAAGTTGTACAACTAGTGCATGTTGCCAGTGATGACCTACGGAACCGAGACGTGGTCCTTCACTGCTGGCCGTATGAGGATGCTCAAGATCGCTCAGCGAGCTATGGAGAGGGCTATGCTCGGGGTTTCTCTGCGTGATAAACTTAGAAATGAAGATATTCGCAGTAGAACCAGAGTGACCGACATAGCCCAACGAATTAGTAAGCTGAAGGGGCAATGGGCCGGCCATATAGCTCGAAGAACCGACAACCGTTGGGGAAAAAAGGTTCTCGAGTAGCAGCCTCGTACCGGTAGGCGAAGTGTAGGCCGACCCCCCACTAGATGGAGTGACGACCTGGTAAGACATGCAGGAAGTCGATGAATGCAGGTGGCTCAGGACCGTGCTTTGTGGCATACCCTGGGGGAAGCCTATATGTTCAGCAGTGGACTTGTGAAGGGCTGTAATGATGATGATGATGATGTGGATGTCTATGGCACTGCATCCACTTACCATCAGGTGGCCTGTGTGCTCGTTTGTCACCCAATGCTATAAAAAATATTCTACATTTTATTTGGCATGTTTTCTACAGGTCTTCTTTATTAAAACAGACCAGTTACCAGAGACTAATATAATACTTTTTGTATAATATGGCTTTGGTTGGTTTTTATAGTGCAATAAATCAACTGAATATGTTTCTTACAGCAATCAAAGTAAAGGAAGGAGACAAAGTCGACAAAGGTCAACCAATTGCTGTCCTGTCTGCTATGAAGATGGAAATGATAGTACAAGCACCCAGAGCGGGAACCATCAAGTCTGTATCCATCACAAACGGTCAGAAGTTGGAGGGTGACGACCTGATCTGCACCATCGAATAAAAAATCAAATATTTATTTATGTAAAGTTTATTTAAATATCATGATCATATCTATTGGCTCACATATATATGCATAGTTTTTATACTTACTTGTGTAAATGATGCACAAAACATTTTTATTTATCAACTGTGATATAAAAGAAATTCTCAAATGTTTATTTAACTGATTTTTTTTATTAATATAATAGTCAGTGACTATTAAAATATATAAGTTTTATCATTTGGTATTCAAACATCTCACAACTAACTTTGTCACAACTTGTGTCGAAAAAATTGAAAGTTGTGTTTATAAAAAAATCAAATATTATGTTAAAATGATACTGATATAATATATTAAGTTCGGTCCTAATATTGTGTTGATTTATGGCCACCATACTTATAAAAAATTGTAATATAATTCGGTAAGCATGGTATTGAGAGCCAAAAATATCTTGCGATAAGCTATTCTAATAATTACTTATTTACGCTTAAAATATATAAAAAGACATAATATGTGGCATCAATTATGTATTTAAGTTTATATACTGTTAAATTATAAAAGATGTACACTGTAAATTTTTCAAATTACATCTAAAACAAATTTGGCGCGAATACGCGTCTATCACAAATATTATAGGCAATGATTTATTGTGGCATAAAAATTGAATATTATTGTTATAAAGTGAGTTAAACTCTACACAAGCCTACAAACACAGTCTACAAAAGCCGAGTTTGTCAAATTTGTGAATTGTATAAACAAAACTGTGATAGTCACATCACTATTCAATGCTGTCCAATTCTTTTTGATCTACACAATGGTATTGAACACTATAGATTATGGGTAGGCTTGTTCCCAGCTGTGGGACATTTAAAGGCTGATTTAAACCTTTTCAAAGTTATTGATATTAACACACGGATACAGTGTTGGAATAGAAAACAAGAGATCACACGACAAAATTATTCATATGAAAGAAAGATATAATTATATATAAAGAGTAGAGTAAATATTTCGGTGTCCAGCTTCGTCGTATCTATACTTTTGAGACATCATTACATCTTCTGAATTATACTTTATCACAGTATGGTACAAATATAGATTGTAAAATAAAATATTGATTCATTTTTTTTAGTTTTTATATGTAGGTGCAATATGTAACTTAATATGCAAAATGCACTCTATATGGCAGAGGAATGACTTATAAAAGCTATTTTTTAAACATCTATCTCATATTATAAATAATATTTTAAATTTCTATTCCACACATCACAACACCTTACAAGAGAAAGTAGACTGTTTGATACAATAAAAAGACATTTGGTCGCCTTAATGTAATATTTTTGACATGATTCTAATATGATTTCAAATAGACTTAAATTGTAACTAACCTGGTACTGAGTTTAAAGCTTAGTAAGATTTTGTTCATATGTCTTGTTGCAACCACACGAAGTTTTTTTAGCTCCTAAGTTAAAATACTTAGCGTAATTTTTAATTTTATGTTTTTATATTTTTTTATATTGTTTATCGTTTGGAAATATCTTTAATGAAAATCACTATATAATAAGGAATCATTTTTTAATTGAAATCAAATGTCAATCAAGTGTCAACTCTAGTGTGGACGTACTCTTAATTTTTTGTTGAGTTTTTTTTATAAATAACCGGTGCTCATTGTTATTATAATTCATTGTTATTTTTATGTTATACGTCGATAATAAATTATAAAATGAAGGTATTTTATTTAAGTCTCCTTAATTTCAACAAACAATCAGATAAATGTCATATGCCTATTCAGGGTTAAGTATATTGCAATATATGTCCAATTTTGTAGAGAAGGTTCAGAATAAGTAATACCTTTATTCGCTTATGCGAATGGTAAAGAAAAATTATTAAAAAAATCGAACATTCCATCCGTTTTATCTTTTAAATTCAGAATGCGTTGTAAATTGTAATGCATTATTTTAACTGTTTGTCATTCATAAATAAATAGGTATATAACGCCTACTATTTTGCTATGCGTGCACACAGGAGCACGCGTACACATAGCTGTTGCCCATAAATCATATTCTTATAGATAATTTCACATAGAAGTCATCTTATATATTAGTATTTTCGAAATAACGGTATATCATTACTTATATAAACTTAATTCAAAAATTTGGATACTCTGAAAAATAACCCTGTATAAATGAGGTATCAGTGCAGTTTTTCATGGTATCAAGCAAACAGTCAGTGCCTTAAAATATTTTTTATTAATATTTGTTAAATTTCGTGCTTCTGCACTTTGGACCTTATCATCACTGCCATATTACTGCCTATCAAATACCATTGCTGAACATCGGCCTCCCCCATAGTTTTCCTCATGTTAGGGGGTATATTTGCTACAGTCGCCACGCTTGACAAGTGGGTTACCAACCGCAGTTTTTTAATAATAGATCTTTACCTATGAAATTGCCGTTCTGCAGTACTGATAATTTCAAACCAAAATAATCTTTGTTTGGCTAAGAATTTTATCTTCAAATTAATTTTATTTCTAAAACATGGAATCCTGTTTACAAAATTAGTCTTTTGTTTATTATTTAGCATTATGTTTTCATCGCATTTGAATCTTTTTCGTCATCATATATACGTTAAAATTTCAAATAATTAAGGATATACTGTCGTGGCAGCAACGCGGCACAACGCAACATTAACGACGTTTACGGAGCCAATAGCGTTATTGGTTTGCCCGCTTCCGTTCTGGAAATTTCGACCTGAAAAATTAACCCCGTGGTCGTCCGAAAACTGATCGACAAAGGCGAATTACGGTACGTTTACACCAAAACCGATTTAGTCCGCCGATGGCGGACAGAACTACCCGGACGAGTAACTCGGACGTGTATGTGCTGACACTGCAACAGTGTACCACTTGTGCTGACATTGGACGTTGCCGGTATTCTTTTCTATTTTTATATTTTCAATATCCGTAGTCGTTTAGGTAGATAACAACACTGACAGAAACAACAGATTAAAGACAAATTAAACTATAAATACACTCAATTTGCACTGTAGACGCCGGCAGTCGGGCGAGAAATCCCAACCAGTTCGGACTCGACGGTTGATCGGCCGTTTTCGTGCGTTATCGGACGATGACTGTCGTGTTTGTGTAAGCGCTTTCTTTGTTTTACAAGTGTTTGATTCGATCGTCCGAGTTCAGCCGTCGTCGCATGCGAAGCGAAAGGTGATTGTGGAAGCTGATTGTACTCAATCTACGGCTGACTTAGCAGTAACCTTCGACGTTAGCATTAAAAAAATATTGGTCCATTTGCATAAAATTGGCAAGGGAAAAAGGTTAGCAAACGGGTGCCCCACGAACTCAATGATCGCCAGCGTGAAGTACTCGTCGAGACGTGCCTTGCACTGCTCAATAGGCACACAAACAAAGGAATTGTGAACCACATTGTTAACTGCGACGAAAAATGGATTCTGTTTGACAACCGCAAGCGCTCAGTAAGATGGTCGTATCCTAGTTCACCACCTAAACAATGCCTTAAACGAAAACTTACCTCTAGAAAAGTGGTGGTCACTGTTTGGCGCCGGTGTGGTTTATCACAGCTTCTTACCAAACAGAATGAGCATTACTGCAGATGTGTACTGTGAAGAACTGAACACAATGATGAAGTTCGCAAGTCCCCACCCAGCATTGATCCATCGCTCGTCCCTGCTGCTCCTGCACGAAAACGCGCGACCTCATACTGTACAACGAACGGTCCAAGTTACAAGATCTGGGGTTGGAAGCTCTTCGTCATTCGCCGTACTCGCCAGACCTTGCGCCTACAGAATTTTACCTACTTTTTCTAGAGTTTCGATAACTTTGGCGGGGACAAAATTCAATGCCCGGGAACACAGAATGCCTGAAGAAATTATTGCCAATATAAGCCTTTGAATAAAAATCAGCTGGATTTTTTCAAGAAATAAACTGTCACTGTGTTAGCAAAGATGCATCGATTGCATGGGAGATTACTTTCATTTAATACAAATAAAAAATATAGAAAAAAATTACTTTAACTTATTTCATAAAAAACGGCAATTTTATAGGTGAAGACCTAATATAAAATATATCGAGTTATTATAAGGAAGATGCTGTTATCCCACCTATTTCATTTACGACAACCACGGTACATTATTGGGTAGTGGATTCTAGCGTAGATTAGCGTAAGACGCCACTGTACGGCACAAATTATTACATTAAAGAATTACATATATTTCTCTCTTCACACTAACTTCTCTGGGCATACTGTTGTTTGAGACAAACCTCAGGCGACGATGGCGAAAAATTATTATCTAAAAACGCCACATCTAAATTTCTCACATGAAAAAAAGGCATTATTTCAAGGGTACCTGTGTCCTCAAGTCGAGCGTCCAAATAATCAAAATAGCGCCCTAAAACGTAGGCTTCGGAGAGCAAACATCACGCCCCATATATTATACAGCATAAAAGGCGCGCTCCAAAGTTAAGTCTAAAAAATCAATAGATGCGTATTCGAAAGCGGTACTTCCTGTATAGGACAGTTTCGTTTCTTTGGTAATGGACTCGTAATGTTGTACTTTTGCCAGTGTCAAGTACTTATATTGTGAAATTATCCTTTATAATAATAAGTTGATTAAAAACATTAACGATATGTTGATGTGTCACATTGTGAAGTTTTTGAGAGACTGACGGCAACTTGAGCCAGCAGACAGTTGATGACGATAGGATCTCACGGTGCCTAAGTAGACACGTAATCTTGAGGTTTACATCACCATTGGAGCAGTTCACAGGCGCAAACATTTAAAAGTCACACCAATTTTACGTATCAAAATCTACTTCAACCCATTATTTAAATCAATAAGACAGGAACATCACCGGTCAAGTTTCGCGAAAACCTCTATAGCTGACAGTTAATATCCTCTGGGCACTCCATCACGCACGCACGTTCAACGTAAACGCGACGCAACATATACGGAGCGCACACGTGGAGATATTTTTACACATACACATTTAAGAG